TAAGAGAGCCACATCCTCTGAAAGGGGTGCATCTGTTAATGGATTTTTTTCTAATATTTTAGAAACCATCGTAGATAAAATTACAAAATTTGGTACAACTGATAACCTTTATACACTCAAATAAATTCAAAGATAAAATGTCGAAATTTTTACTCAGGGGCGTTCTAAACTGGGGGGTTTAGAGTAAAAAGTACCCTAACTATTTTGGCGTTGGTTTTTGCCACTTTCAGCCACAAAATTCATAGTCTTTCACAAAAAAGAGCTCTCTTGCGTTTTTTCGATAAAACTTACCGTTTTTGAGTTTTTACTGATTGAACTGATTTTTCAGTTTAGAATTTGTCTTACAGACCATAAAGAAGATAAAAATTAAAAATTAAATTTGTCTCACCGTTTAACAAACTCGTGATTAAAAATTTCGACAACTGATCTTTAATTTCGTTCAGGTGTTTAAGAGTAATCAGCTGTACCAACTCTTGTAATTTTATCCATTCTGCAATAGTGGGAAAACCCTATTAAAAACACATCTTCTTCAGGGGGTACGTAACATTTTTTGATACATGTTTATAGGAAACTTTTGTCTTAAAATTGAATATTCTATCATCTGTTTAAGTTTGTAACAATAAAAACGGAACATTCTGTATTTCTAATGGAATTTTGACAGATGTGGGAAGAAAATTTTTAGCGGTCAAAAGGGCTGGTGTTAAAACTAACCGTCCTGTGTGAATGTTATCGTCTTTATACCATAACAACATAGAACAACATTTTTTTTTTTAATATTTTTAATTACGAAATTCATTATTTTGCTTATGATGTCTGTAATACCGGATCCATCAAAAGCGGTGGAAAGTCATCCTTTGTTTTGGGCCATTTAGATGAATGCGTGTAAATAAACGGGGATTAGTTAATTAAAGCCTGACATTTGACAGCAAATACAATATACAAAGCCGTAAAAATCGTGCGAAATCCGTGCAGTTTTTCTGTCAGCAACCGGTCCGGATATGAAAGCATCGACGATTATTTTGTCTTTGATGTTAAAGCGAAATTGCTTTTGGAATAATCCGAGTTCAATCGTTCACGTTTTTAATAAATGATGCCAGTTTTTTATCTCGAGTGTTAAATGGTCCGTATTCAATCACATATAATCGGAATAATTTGTCGGTGTGACAGTTGATGGATTTTTTTGGAAAACATCTCATGCGAGGGCTGTTTTTCGTTAGACTGCTTGACAGTTGTCCGCCCTTTCCTTCCGCATAACAAAGTTATATTTGCTCCCTACCGAATTGGTTGTGTCACCTGTTTTGATGGCTTCACCCACACAGCGTAATATTCGGATAGAGTAAGGATCTAAAACAAGTGGAATGATTGATGTGCAGTGTGTCGTTGAAAACGCACGTGCTGACTTGGCTCAGTCTTCATTAAATCAGAAATGTTTTTATTTGGTCAGCTAGAAAAAGGACATGCAACATCCGGTGCCACCAAAAGCGATGATAGAAAAGGCCAGATGCTACCAACACGGAACTCTAACTTTTAATTAAATGACGTTTAATTATATTTCACGCTAAAATGCAATCAATGACGGTGGAAGATATTAGCTTTGAATTAACTGCAACATTTACAAAAAATTGCTTTGCGGTTATAAACAGATTACGGTTTTGGTCACAACAAACTGGATTCAGTCACAAATCTGCTTACATTTTTACAAAAGCTTTCAAGATTTAATACGCTATAAAAATCTAAAGGCAACTGAATTTTTTTTCCGAGGAAATGTTTTCATTCTAGAATCTATTCAGAAAAATAAAATTAGCAAAAACTTTAGTGTGTTAGTGATATTAAATTAAAAACAGATTAATATTGTTAAAAGTAAATTTTTTTTCTTATTTTGGAAATATTTTTTTTGTGTATATTGGGCGTTACATGTCAAAATTTTGCATACAAGCTAGAAAATGAACCAATCCGAACTTCGCCAAAAACTAGTCATCGTAGATTGGCGAAACACCTGCCAAAGAGTGGGCGTTTTTGCACCGCCTTATTTCTCTCCGAAACTAATTTCCTGTATCTTTATTGCTTCAATTTACGTAAAAAATCCTTTTCGATTTAGTCTCCTCGCTTTTGTTAGTTACATTTTCGCTCACTCTGACCGTTTCTAATTCTGTTAAAATATGACAAAGGCGGCCTTTCGATAAATTCCTCTGAAGAGCTTTGCGCCTCCGGCGTTTGATGAAGAATTTATTCCTTTGCCACTACATCCCGAGCTTTAGGTTGCGTAAACAGGAAATAAGGCCGTTTCCACACATGTAAAGCGCTAAAGGATTATTATGAAGAGCACAGGTTAGAGCGCACAGAGAGTTTTACGACCACAACATGTTCGCAGAGGGTGAGAAAGCGGACAGCTGTCTCAAGTTCGGACAAGCTTTACTTGGTGGTTCTTCGACCTATTAGGACTTTTCCGGATTAACTTTGTTCTGTCAATTAGCGGAAAAAGGGGCTTTTTACGATTTCTCACGTACATATTCATGAGGGGAGGTTTAACTTTTACTGGCTAAACACGGACATGTGCTGGGATTGAGGTAATTAAACGATTTAAATTTTGTTCAAGCAAAAAGGGGTTTGTCATCGTTTTGTGGTCAATGTGAACCGCTTTGTGAAAACGGCACGTACGACTTGTGAGTTGGATACATTGTTTTGTAAATATTTTCCGTTTAAATATTAAAAGTAAGGAAATGTAAAATATTTAACAAGACAAATGTTACAGATAAGATTTTTTGCAAAATTTGTATTTCACATACAACCAAATAGAAAATTACGTTTTGTCCCGATTGTTTTTGTAAAACAAAACTTGAAAATATTGTTTTTTAATAAAGGCATATTATTACATTTCAGCTCTATAAATAAATATTTTTATCATTGTTATATTATTTAGCAAAACGATTTTATTTTTATGATTCCGATATTAAATAACTGTGAGTTATTTTAACATTTAATTTAAAACCACATTCCCACAAAAAAAAACATAATATAAATTTCTATTTTAATCCGGAAAATGTCGACTATATCACAATTATCATTTCATTTAAAAAGGTCTAATGGTTATTTAACATGTTTGATGGCAATTTAGTGATATTTTACCGTAAATGTGCATTTAAAAAAATATATAACAATCTAGGAAACTGTTGTTGACGTAATTAGGGCTGTTAAAAAGGCCATAACGGTCAAGGGAAATGTTTGAGGCCCGACAAAGCAAGGTCTTGAACTCTTGATCCTTCCGGGTCGTTATGGTTTTTAACAGCACATGGTATGTACAATAGTTTTCGTTGTCAAAAAGCCTAACGTTAAATCGAAAGTCATACTGTTAATAGTTATTTGTATTACAAGGGAAGAAAGTGTACTTTATCCTTTTTTTTTTGAAGTTACTGCCCGAGATTTGTCGAGGCAATAACCACCCAGGGAGAAAAAGAGACTTTTCTCCAGTGCAATAAATATAATTTTTCTTACGATCCAGTAAGAAAAAGTTCAAAAATAATAATTTTTCTTGATATTCTAATTTCGCCATTTAATCTAGCAGCATGTTTTTTTGTTTCTATGAGGGAGTTAAAATTTTTACCTCTCTGAGAGGTTACATACCAGGTGAATAAAAAGTATGGAACCAAACGTTTTTTGCTTAAACTATTAACTTTTTGAAAAAACTAATTGATGAGTGCTAAAGTACTATAAAAATGTGATGATTTAACAAGAATAAATTTTTTCGAAATTTCCTTTTATTTTTGAGTTCTACAAAAAAAATATTTTTTTTAAATGGCAACCCACTATAAAATCATTTTTCTCATAAAAGCTATACTCTAAGGATTAAAACTATCTGCTTTATTTTTAATTTTTTTTTAAAGATTTTTTCACATAAATTGCAATTTTGACAAAAAAAATCTCATAATTCAAACACAAAACAAAATGTCGTTCTGAAATTACGATCACATTTTTTATATTACTTTAATTTATATTAATTATTATTTTCCGGAGGCAAATGATTAAAAATAAAACCGCTTGGTTTCATACTTTATATTCACCCGGTATATATTTAATATAATTTTGACGGATGAAGGAGGTAATTGGCTACTTTTCTTTCTGTAATTAGGGTGGAAAAGCTTACTTTCTATTAGGATCGTACGAAAAACCTATTAACAGTCCTATATCTGTGTTACTAGAGTGATATTGAGAGCTTAACAATTGTAAATTGTTGAATGTTCTTTATTTAATGTTTTTACACCAGTTTCACCAGTTGTGAGGAGTTACATAAGGAATTTTCAAACCATTTTGATAACAAACTTGCACATTAAATTTTGTATAAGACGCCAGATTTTTTTCAATTCTTTTACGACATCTCACATATTTAGTCATTAGTCATAATTACCGATTGTACCTAAGTAAAAAAATCAAAAAAATACTATTCTACTTTTCTAAATGAAAAAAATTGTTGCTCGAAAATGGGCTCTAAAAATTTTTAAACTTTACTCAAAGATATGCAAAAGAACCATATGTTTTTCTTGCAACTTGTATTATCTGTATTTCTGCAAATACTTACAAAAGTCTTTGTACCTGGAATTAGTGTTTAGTTAATTTTCAACTTAATAATAATCACCAAGTTCTCTAACTCAAAGTCCCTAATGCTCCTAGTCAATCTATCCCCGTCTTTGTGTTTCCCTTCCTCGTATTATACTCGACTTAATCCTCCCAATCAAAAAGTCGGTCTTAAAGCAACCGCTGTAGCTTTTAATGAGTCGATTCTCGCTCCAGTTAATTGATAATCTCTGAGATCACCTCGTTGGGAGACAAAAGTACGCAACGCTCGTAACAACGCGCAAGAAAATGAGTAACCCTATTTGTGTAATAGCTCCTGGTTGAGTTGTTCAAGACGTGTAAGTTCCGTCATGTGAAAGCGACTCGAATCTCTTCAAACTTCCAAACACTATCATTTCAAAACTCAATTAACAAAGTTGGAGTTGTTCCAGGTGGAGAAGCTCTCAAGGATGTATCAGTGACCATTCCTCCCGCTGTCAAAATCATGGACACCGTCACATTGCAATGCCGATACGACCTCCAAGGGGAGCCCCTCTACACCGTCAAATGGTACAAAGGGGGACAAGAATTCTTCAGGTACATCCCCAAGGAGTTGCCAAGTACTCAAGTGTTTCCACTACCAGGCATCAACGTCGATGTAAGTTGTCAAAAATTTAACTAACGCCATTATAAACACAAAATTATTCAAACGGTGCTTTGACTGTGATTATACCGAGGCCGTTACGCTGCGGTCATCATCATCTAAAATGTATAATCAAGTGCCTAGCTGTTGGTGAGATTCGCTTATAAATAGGGAAAGGTAGGATGCTCCCGTGACTACGATTATCCTCGCTCTGCTAAATTATGTTTAAATTAGAATTTTTTAGCGGAAATTGCCCGGATTTTTTTGGCTGCGGAGAAAATAAACGGTGGTAATAGAAAATGTCACTAACAGGAAGCGGTACGGTTAAATTGAAGCACATTAATTAACATTTTTTGCGGTGAAAGGATTAGCAAAATTACTGGAAGAAGTTCCGCAAGTGACAGATTTTAATAATAAAGGAAAATCGAACCGATTAAAAAAATGATACCTTTGAATTAAAGAAAATTGTTTTAATACTAAGTGTTGTACAAGTTTATGTAATTTACTAAAGCTTACTAACAAAGTTTGGAAACTGTATACATATAATTGAAGCATCTCGAAACAAAAGCTTTTTACGGGATTTTTAAAGCGGGAGAGATTAAAGCATGTATAAACTTACAATGTATCTCTATTCAAACAATTAGTTAGTTTGGCAGAGTTGAAGTAACAAAAGTTTAGAGATTTTTGCAATCCCGTCGCATTCACCATTTGTCAGTCATTCTAAATGTTCAAGCTTTTATATTTCCAATAGTACATTTTAATATCAAACCAGTTTTTTTATGAAAATATGTTGAAAATATTAAATTTATTTGTAGATGAAAATCAATAACTAGTAAAATTCGAAAAATAGAACCCATCTAGACAAATGAGCATTTTGTAAGCTCAATAATAATAGATATTCCATTAAATGAAATAAAACATTAAACATAATACATCTCTTTGTGCTACTAACTAAACTAAATTTGATCGAACAATGGCTTCGCATCGACAAAATTTCTTCCTAAGCATCGAAACAGCAAAAAGAAGCAAAAATTTCATGTATAAAGCAGCGGGTAAGATCTCGAGCGAACATTCATTTGAAATAAATACCCTTCAGAAGTCTTATCCCAGCCACAAACGAGCTCTATCAGGACTCGTTTAATACTTTTTTGTCCATCGGTCCCGATATCCGAAATCTATTAAGGTTCTTAATAATCCAGCCGGATTAAGCAAACTTTACAAATAAACGTCTGTAAATCTTCCAAATGGATATCGATTAGTCTGGTATTGGTGTGTTTTCACTAACCACAATGTTCGTTTGAATTTCAGCTGAGCAAGTCCAGTCCTAACGAGGTCGTCCTGCGAAATGTGCAACCGGAAGTCACCGGACGATACAAATGCGAAGTTTCCTCCGACTCACCGAATTTCTACACTTTCATAGTTTCTGGGTACATGTACGTGATTGGTAAGTGATTTTGGCTTAAAAGCAAGTTTGGACGAGAAAAAGATTAAAGTTTTACCCTCTTGGGCTTTATTAAGCATACAAGTGTTTCGGGTCGTGTATGCTTTAGCAAGGCGTTGAGGGCCACTTGGTTTAAGTTGTGTTAACTGCTTTAGGACTGATACTCGGGAGGACCGCAATTCCACGATTTACGGCCAGAACAAATCGCAACAAACCGAGGTTTATATTAATTTGGAATATTAATCTTATTTAAAATTAATTGAGTTTAAAATTATCAAACCAAAGTAAAATTCAATGATATTTTTACTTTTCTGGGAATTAAAAGCTAGTATTTCATACTTTTTGGAATAAATTTTGGTTTTTCTCTATTTTTACGCACAACAATAATTTTGTTAACTTCACACGAGTACAATTTTTTATATTTTAGTGTTTGTATTTTAAAAATAAAACTAAAAATAATAAAACACTTAATAATAGAAAATTCTTTAGTTTTACTACGGTGTGTTGCTTAAAATTGATTTTTTTCTTATTGTTGCGTAATAAATAATCTAACATTTACCAAAAAAACGTTTTTTGTTAAAATTTTTGCTACAACAACAACCACTTTTATCTGTGATGAGAAAACATAAATGAAGTGTAGTAATTAAAATCTTTTGCTACTTGAAAAGCTATTTATGTATCAAGTACGCAAAATAGGGCTTTAGGGGACGAATCGTAATTACGAGGCGATGTAGGAGCCGTACGTGAGCCTTTTCCGTACGTGGTGCATACAAGATTTTTTTAAAGCTCCTAAAACAGGAATTTACACTTCTTACTAATTAATTTTTTTTTAATTGGTTACCATAGTAACCAATTTTAGTTTTTAGTCCGCACAAACTGTTTTTCGGTACTGAGTACCTAAAATAACCGTTTTGAGTACTATTTTATTGAGTCCGGAAAAGATTCATTTTAGGGACTCAAATGAGTTCCTAAAACAGCTGTTTTCGGGAGCGTATACAAAAAAAATAATATAAGTTTGTAAAAGAGTCCATTGTTGTCAGTTATTAAAAGTTCGTCCCTTTTTACATTTAAATTTAACTTTTTTTAAATTTGAAGAAAAAAAAGTAAAACATTATCTAATTTTTATAGGAACCGCCATTATAAGAACTGTTTGCTTTTTATCAACTATTAACAAAATTTCTACAGTGTGGTGTAAAAATCGAGAAACACAAATTTACCATGAGATAGAAACTTCAAACATTATGTTATTAGGAATAAAAGTGTTACTTTATGTGATGAAGCTAAACGTTTATTTTTCTGAATGTAGTGAAGCAAATAATTTAGCTGAGCCACATAAACTTACTTTTATTTCGAATAACAATTTGGAATTTGTGTTGAGATTTTCGAAAGTGTGTATTAATTTAACTAGTGCAATCAGTAGTGCAAAATGTCGAATGTTGACAATCTAAAATGCACCTCTCCAAAAATTGCTGAAGCAGCAAAAAAGGCAAGAAAAAAACAAGGTTGGTATTTACCATTATTTTCAATAATGTAATGTAAAGTAAAAACGCTTAGGCGCAAATATAAAATTTTTACTCCATGCCTGAAAAGCAAAATTTTTACTTGTGACATTTAGTAAATAAATGGGCACTTTTATGATGTTTGTCAAAAACAAAAAATGTTTAGGTGCTATGACTTTCTTGATCAATAAAAAAATGTTTTTTAAGAAGGTCTAATTTTCAAAAAGAACAGAAAGAACAGTTATTGTATCTGAACTTATAAATATTATTTCTATAAGAAGGTTGGTACATTTTTATTGGTTTTTAAAAAATGACAAAAATTTTGTGCTTTTTAACTTTATATTAAAGATTTTATCTTTTCTTAACTTGTAAACTTAAAGCTTCTGTTTTCATTACTAGCCTATGGTTGTCAAAAATAATTGAGCTGACTTTTCAAAACCTTTTTTTTTGTATGCGTAGCCATAAATACCGTTAGTTTATCGGCTTTGAAGAAGCGCTTGATTCAACATCGGCGTTATTTGTGTGTTTGGCGAACTAATCCTTTCCGTGCATGCTTTTCATCATTTCTCCAGTGTGAGATTAAGTGCACTTTAGTTCTGATTATCGCAAAACCAACTTTACTTAAACTTTATTTTGCAAGTTGCGCAAAAACGAAGAAAAATCGTGTTGGAAGTTGTAAGCGCTACAATAAATTCTCCCTGCAAAACACATAAATTTTATTAATTTTCCGCACGGCTCAATGGTGGAATTGTTGACCTGAAAACTTTCTATTTAAGCCTTGGGAGTGGTGTAGTGGAATATTGAAAGGAAGCCACTTACTAGGGGCAGCTAATAACAAATGGTGGTGCTCCCGGGTTGACAGGCTGACGCTTTCAGACAGGTTACCCATATCTCAGCGGCGGCCATTACTCATGGGGTTATGCGACATGGGGACGGTGTCGCTTTGTGTTATTCTAACCCCCGGATTATTAACACTCAATCTCGGGTGGGATTAGTGGGAAGTGATCGCGACATGGCACAACCATAGAAATTTTTAACATCAAAAGGCAATTTGGGATTTTAAGAGCGTCGTTGGGTTTCATCTGTTGCTCGGAAAAACCAGTCAAGGACCCGGCGTTAAAATCAAGACGAAATTAGACTTTTCATCAGATTTTCCGAGGCGCAAGAGCAAGTTGAATTGGTTAATTTCCTCGGCATGTCCTACTTTATGTGCTTTTTACACGCTTTCCACTCCGGATCCGTGGCAGTGTTATATGTTACAATTTCCATCCCATAATCCGGGTCTCTCTATCCTTTGAGCCAATCTACGCCCTATCGCGGTCGAACTTATGGCAGAGGCCCTATTAAAGCTTCCCAGTTCGCCGTCCCTGGCCGACCGACTAATCAACCAAGCCGCCTTGATGGATCGGCCCCTGCACACAACGAATAAATCTTTATCACGACCGGTTTTTCACGGATCGAGATATTCGGAAATTAAAATTATTTTACGAGGTTGAGTAAATACTGATAAGAACAAGCGATATCCGATACTCAGTGCTCCACCAGAAGCTATATTTATTTGTGTGTGCTGATACTGGCAACTGTATTCTTATGTAAATGTTTTACACAACCGAATAAATTTCAATTCAAAACATATCTAACTTCGGAGAAATACAAAATTGCTTTTATTTCGTTTTTCGGAACTACAATGAACCACAAAGCTGACAATATTCTGCCAAGCAGAACACAAAACACCCTAGGTTAGGGTGTACATTTTCTACAGCTTAGAAACTTTTTATAAAGACAAGTAAAACAAAAAGTAAAGTTAATTTTTCAATCCTTATTTTTACTCAAAGAAGACTAAATATGCCATTTAAAGTAAGATACCAGGAACACAACAAAATGTAAAAAAATTCTATACAAAATCATCAGTTTCATTAAGTAGACATAAAAAAATGTCAAAAGTCAAAAAATTATAGCAACATTTTTTGATAGATAGAATTTTTTAAACACTTTTTTCATGTTCCGGGTATCCTAGGTATTTTACTTAAAATTTTTTCTCCGGGGCGCAAGTTCTGACGCAACCTGTATTTAGATAGAAAAACAAATATTTAAAAAATTACAATTAAATAAGGTGGTTAAACATCAGATATACCTATTAGAGTATATTAATGTTTTTTCTTGTCAAAATTTTTGACTATAATTTTGACAAAAGTGTTTATATAGAATAAGTCAAGAAATAAACAACTAAAAAACGACTATTTGTGACCTTTTGGGCAAAGTTTTTTAAAATTTTATAAAAACATAGCAGTGATTTTATTTATCAATATTAAATTTATGCAAAGTAATCTATTAAAAAAAATCATCGTTTTACTGAAAGTCCTAACTGAAAAAGCTCAGAGCTTGTTGTAATGTGAGAAAACGGATTCAGAATTTTAGATGTAGTTATAGAATTTTGTAGTTTAACTCAACTGGGGAACGTTGAAACCAAAAATAAGAAGATATTTATTATGATCTTACAAAATACACAAAAGGGGATGAAAATACAATTTATCGAAAACTTATCAGCTTCCTGTCTGAGTAGTTTTTATAAAAATTCAATTCGCATTTTTATTCCAAGTAGCGGAAATAGTTTATTTTGTAAACTTTTGGTTGGGAAGCTTGAAAACTTAATAAGAATTTTATTTTATTTCAGTAACGTATGCGTCTTTAGTTATAAAATAAAAAAATAGCATTGAGTACTAAAAGTGTAATTCTTGAAAATTACTTTAAGATTATTGTCTTTATTGTAAAAACAAACATTTTGCATAATGATGATAAGAATAAATTTTATAATAATATGACTAAAAACTTGCTTTAGTTTTCAGCTGTGATTTTTTACATTCTTGTAATACTTAAATTTCAACCCAAGTCTAAACAGAAAATAATAATAGAACTCGAAAATAAAAGAAATCGAAAAAACATGTTTTTAAAAACGATGACATTTAGTACTTTGCTTCTTTTAAATTACTTTTTCCTTAGAGCAAATATCTAGATTAAACAACACAACAATACTCTTCTTTTGTTGTTTTTATTGTTACAGCTAAACTTCTGTAAGATATATCATATCAAAGAAAGTGTCAAAACGGTAACATTTTTGTTGTTTCCAATAATATTTCTGCTGTTTCAACATTCTCTAAAAATAATAATAAAAACTTAGAACGATGTAAAATTTCGTCCCTCTCTTCACCCAACTTCTCTCAGGTTAGTCAGATTTCCCTCCTCATCCCTTGCCGTGATTGATGATGATGTAGTAAAAGTCTTCATCAATCACCTTAACAGAGAAAATACTTTTCGACACCTACATCTACACAGTGCCTATTTAAAATATTCATAAACCGCCTTGAGGCGATTAATTGTGATGATTGAATGAAGCATTCCAAAAGTAATTCTAATACGTTTCACATAAACAAACATATGAAGTTAACCTTACATGTTTAATGTTCATCCACGCGTAAAAGCAATGCAAACAACGTCGGCCACCAGCATCGGCCGCAGCAAGCCTCAAAGCATACACAAAGTAAACCGCAGACCAAAGCTTAAAAGCTAACATCTCCTGAAGGATATCCCTAATACAAGTAACTCATTCAAAGGTAAACAACGTATTGAGAAAAAATATGTCAATTGATGATGTTTAAAGTCTTTAAATTCAGTTTGGTAAATCATTTTTATTGTGTCAAAATGAGCGAATTGCTTTTTTGTTGGGGACAGTTAATGTCGTCATAAATTTTAATACAAGGCTTGAAATAGTGGTAGCGTGTTTGCGGTGTCGTAATAGGTTTATTTTTATTCCAAATGGCGCCCAAAGATGTACAAAAATAAAACAGTTTAAATTGTAAACAACATTGTGCCAGAACATGGTCAAAATAATTTTTCAAATACAGTAAAACCCTTCTATAACGAGAACTCAAGGGGCCAACGTATTTGCTCGTTATAACCGATTTTCAGGGATAATAACAGTTTTTACATATGCGCTAAGCAAATTATTTACTAAATACGAACATTATAGAAGATTAATGAACAAAAATACGATTAGCCCGTCACACCAAACTTTTATTTAAAACACAACGCGTTTCAACCACAAAGTGGTCATCCTCAGGTGTGACGGGTTTAATCGTGTTTTTGTTCATCGTTTCCATACCAAGAATATCCAAGAAGAAGAATAGAAGAAAAAAATTGTAATTTTTGTTTGTTTTTTTGTAATAAAGCATATTTATCTTATCAATTGCACTTTCCAATTATACACGGCTATTGAAAATGACATTGTGGTTAGGCCCAATAACAAAAAAATTAATCTTTAGAAAATCCCCATTTTTTTCTGCAAATTGTTCTGCTTTTTCTTTTAACATAGCTCCACTTATGGGCACATTGGATTAGCGATTCGCTTTGAGTCAAGTAAGAACTTCTTCACTTTTGACGAAAATTTACCAGTTGAAATTGTTCTCTTTGCACATTACAGCTTGTTTTTCACCAAATTCCAACTCTTTTATTATTGATATTTTTTCTTTGATAGAAAATGTTTTTTTTTGAGGACGGCATATTGATACAGAAAGACAAAGTGTTCTCTGCTTAGAAAATTATTCAAGTCTTAGAAAGTGAGGAAAATAAGACCATTAGCACGCAAAAACAACATTTCCCAAAAATATTTAGTATACAATACGTAATGGAGACTCGCAGGATTTTTATATCTTCTAGGAACTTTTGTTATAACCGATTTGTTTCCAAAATTACCGATTTTGGACAAAATAAAATATCCACCTCAATTTCAGAAAAATACTCGCCATAGTGAGAGAATTTTACAATGAGTAGTATACAAAACGACAAGGGACCAGACGATTTGCTCGTTGTCGCCGATTTTTCGTTATAACCGGGACTCGTTATAGAGGAGTTCCACTGTATTGACTATTGTTTAACGTTAATTATTATTAGTGCTCTCAACCTCACAAAAAGTCCTGTTTTTTATTACTTTGTCACAATGTCCGGGCTTTGATTTTGTCGTTATAGCTCCAGTCACATTTCCCATTTGCTCGATCCATGTTCAAATCGAATAAATACAACTCGCAAGTTCCATTTTGTCAAGCAATTGCATTGCAGTGCGATTGTTCGCAATATGACGCAATTCATTGGAACAAATTAATTTCAGTTTTGAATTTAGCCTCTCTCCTGGCAAACTTTCCCGATTAAATAATGAAGCAACTTTCAACTTATCGCCTGCATATCCTCCCCTTGAATATAAAATGCATAATAGAACCGGTGCGAATTCGCACATTTTTCTCGCTGAAACTTTAGCATTTCGGGCGAAAAAAAATTATCATAAAATATTCACTGGGGAAACTATATTACAGTTTGGATGAGTTACCGTGGCGCCGTTTCTATAAATCAATGTTTCGTCCGGATTCGAAACGAATGCACACACAACGTTGCCGTCTGAAAAATTCCGGCCACCTGGCGCTGAATGCCGGCCCTTGAAGATCTATGAGATTTAATCAGGAATAGTGTCGCTGCTTCTAATGGCCGAGAAAAAGCAACGTTCTAATCACCCGCCGAGAGAGGATTTATGGGGCTAATTTAACCCTTTGCCGCTCTAATGGACGCGCATAGAGATCAAAAATGGATAAGTTCGTTGAGGAGGCGATCATCGACGATAATGAAAATTTCATCTTTCATGGTTCACAGATTGGATTTTAATAATTTAAAATGGCGCATTCGAAAACGGAAATTTTTACTAAGAAGAACGTGCCAAGATACAAATTGGAAAAGACGAGCCAATCACGGTAAATAAGAAAACATGGAATAAATAAAAATCCTTTATAAACTTAGAGAAAAATTTAGCATCTTAACCTTAGTACAGTAATAAAATTTTCAACTCCGCAATTCTTAAAATATGACTGATTTAATGTCGTGTGAGCTGAAATTGCAACGGCTTTAGACAAACAACGAGAATAATGGCTACAATTTTCTTCTTCATTTTTAGATCTAGTGAGATATCATAACTATCGCTCAAAGTTTTTTATAAATATGCTGCTGGAAAACTTTGTTTCTTCTGTTTTAATACTAGTTTTAATAGTAGGCGTCTCAACTATACCCGAGTTTTTTAAATTCCATGCTATTAATAATCTAATAATTACTGCCACATAACGCAACATCGACCAAAATTGTTTGACAATTTATAAATTCTCATATAGGTAGTGTTCGGATTCTTAGCATTATGCTAATCCGTTATTTTAATAAGCAACGCAAATATTGTTGTCAACATAGGCAAATTAAGGTTTTCTCTTTCAAATAGATACATTTTTTCTGCTTATTTGCTAATTTGGCGTTTTTTGTGTAATTTCTATGCTAATTTTGATAATTTTTGGTCTTTGATGTTTTTTAACTTTAATACAAATAGTTACAAATTCTGCAAATTATGTTGAGTTGTCTAGTTGCAAAACCCGTTGAATATAAAAATGACAAAATTTGTTTTATTTTTAGCTCTTTTATATGCGCATCCACCTACAAAACAGTTAAAAAAAAAAATTAAAACAAAAAATTGGAACATAATTTTGAATTTTTAAAAGCCATGGTTTGGTGAGTTTCTTTATAAAAAAAAAACTAGAAAGACGAGGTCGGACTTTAGTCAAAAGTAAGTCGGCAACTTTGTACAAAAAATATTGTCGATAACGATTTTTATTAGAAAAATTTCACAAGTTTAAAAAAATAATATTTTTGATTTAGCTATAGATCCTTTCTACCCTAGCTAATTTTAAATACGCTCCAATTTTATTAAAAGCTTAGAAGTGGAAGAAAGTTTTTCACACTTTAAAAATGTTTTAACCGATAAAAAAAACACAATTTTCTAGTCAACAATTTAGAAAAACTTTATTAAGATGTTTTTATATGTAGGTATTACGTTATGTGTGGATTATTTTTAAGTTTGTTTTTTTGTTAAACATTTGTTGTTAATAGCCTTTTTTTATTAGAAAATAAATTTTGTTTGGAATGACACTGAAGTTTGTTGAAAACTAAATTATGAGTATTATATTTTTAGGCATATTTCTAGTGTATTTTAATGTAGATTGTATTGCTTAAATTTTAAGATTTATTTAGCGCTATTTTCGCCTTTTTTGTGCTAAAAAGTCCAAACTCTACATGTATTAGTTGGAAACTTAAAAAATAGTTTTTTACAACTAATCTAATGACCAACAAACAATTTTCTCTTTTTAGTTTGTATTTTAGATTGATATTCGCAAATATTTCTAAAACTATTTTTAACTTTTAATGTAATTCTAAACTTTTTAGTGTGAAACATTTAAACTGTTTTATACAATTTTACAGAAAATAATAAAGATTCTGGAATATTCCGGTTACTTATTATTTCACCAAAAAAAAATTTAATATAAGTCACTTTTGACCAAAAATTGACGACATGTTTTTAAGACATAAAAAGGTACATTTTTTACACACATTTTTACAAATCACAACAAAAAAGCACCTTTTTTACCAAAAATCTAACCAAGGTAAAATTTAATTAGATTAGGTTGTAACAAATTAATATGTTTAAAAAATATGACATAAACAAACAAGCTTGTTTCAAAGGGCCTATATTTCTCTGCATTAAGCTTTATTTTTGTACACAAACCCTCTCAAGTTTTTAACACTTAATTTAGTTTGATAAATAAATATTTTCCTAATTATTCTAATTGGCAAAAGGTTCTTAAAAATCGTGGCAAAAATATTTTTTTAGAGAAATTCAACACAATAAATTGGCAATAGTTGGCTTCTTACAGTCAAAATTACTCAATTTGTTTTATTCAAATGTTGTTGGTTTTTGACGCTAGACAACTTGAAGAACGAAAAGTACAAACATAAAATTATGACCTTTCATTATTACTCAAATAAGTAAACAGATGAAAAATTTGCTACAAAAGTTTTGTTAAAGACGAACTTGAAACGATAAATTATTATAAATTATGCTATTTAATAAATACATTTAAATAAAGCAGGATAAGCGATTGCAGCATTTGCTGATCTCTCTAATGAAATACCCGCACAACTTTTTTAAATTAAGGTCAGAATGTATAAATTTCAACAACACAACTCCCAATACATAGTTTTTCGTTCAGGTATATTTGTTAGTTCGTCCTTTCTAAACTTTAACCATATCTTGTCACCTTAAAACCCCGAGTTAATGTAGTGTTCGTTTTGCAGACGTCCCTGAGGAGGACCCCGTCATGACATTCGAAAAAGATCTATTAGAGATGGGTTACACCGTCCGGGGTAACTGCACATCACCTCCTTCTTATCCTCCAGTCAATATCACCTGGTTACTCAACGGGAAAAAGGTAAAAACTACCGAACTTCCGGTTTTTGTTTGCTTTTCAGGCAAATCGATCTTAATAGCGACCAATTTATTATACCTTCTCTTTTTTTTAATAATAATACGAACTGGCACGAAGGTAGCACCGGCGACGAACACAAACACATTAAGATATTTGGTCGATAAAGTTGCGAGATGCTCATAAAAGCCGCATTATAATAATTTTAGAAAGTTTGCTTTTCTCTCGGAGGACTACATAGATCGATACGGTGTTGATTAAGTTTCAATTATCTTTGATGGAGTGTCATATTTTGTGTTACAAAGGAACAGTTGTAACTTACCTAACCTTTTTGGTTTCCCTCTCCTTTCCCATTTGACGGCGCCATTTCAGATTACTCACTGCAACAAAAATACACGGTTAACTACATTTCATTAGTTATTAAGGGAGTGAAGTTGAGTGCGGCTCACAATATATCATTTCTTGTTTACTGTGGCGTTATTAAATTTAAATTTATGGTAGCAATTGCATTTGTCATTTTAATTGTTAGATACTTGCTTGCGTTTGCTGAATTCAAGTAGGCCGTAATTAATTAACAAATTAAATTAATGGGCGTGCTTGTCGGCCGCATCAACGTTATATTTGATGGATCAGCGTTTGGACAAACATGGAATGAACTCGACTATCAACCCGAGACCATTAATTGGCTTAGGAACTAATTTGATTGTGCGTGATATTTTTCGATATAACGTCGGGGCGTTTTACACCTTCCGGCGAAAACCTCAAAGGGTTATATCAATTAATATTAAATAAACCGGCATTAACAGTAAACCTCGTTTATTGTCGTCGCCACAGCCGCATTTGTACCTTAACTAGCGTTAAAGCTAAGGCACTCGGATTAAATTTATGACGGCAACGAATATGAAATGAAACATAAATAATTCTCCCTTGGCAATATAAATGATAGTGAAAACTCCATTCTCTTAAAAGTGAAATATGAACGTTTCTAATTTATAAATTCAAGCATAATACGCTTGGAAGTCTTATCTCAGACGAGAAACTTTAAAAAATAACACTTTTAAATCACATTTTTTAACGCAACTCCATTAATGTCACCATCAGGCGTGCGATATTTTGCTACACAATTATAAAAAGCTCGACATCCGGTTCCAGTCATGTAAGTTTGAAAGAAGTTGCTTGTGTCATAAACACAACAACTAAAATAAAAAGTAAATGATAAATCGGCTAAACTGCAAAGTGATCATTTTAAATATGGATCTTGTTGAGATTTTCCCGGCGCATCCACCAAAATAACAAACATCGATGAATAACAAGTGTGAAAATAAATAAACAAATTTATGCTTTTTGGGGATTGGACTGAAATTAAAAGCTTTTGAAATTACGTGCTGTTTTTATTATCGCCTATTGTAATAACTATTCAAAATAATTGTGTTTACAAAAAATAAAAATGTTGTACGTAACATAAACACAATAAATATTTTTGACAAATAAATTTTGACAAAATCTGATAGTCTCCAATAGTCTCCCCTACTGTCTTTTGCAACACGATGTTTTAAAAAAGTCTCGATTGACATTTTTTTAAATTCAATCATTTCTTCAAGAAATTTTAAAATATTTATTCGTAAGTCTAGAAATTTTTTAAGCCGGTATATTTGACACTTTCTTAGTCTCCCCAACTGTCTTTTGTAGCACAATGTTTTAAAAATATTTTTTTTAATTTTTTTAATTTCTAAGCCAAGTATTACAAACATGTGTTCGTTCTATAGTATAATAGTCATTAACCCAAAAAGAATGAAAGTAGTAAAACATGTTTTGTACTTAAAAATAACTGCAAGTAAATAAAATATAATAAAAATTGTACGAGAATATCTTAATTTTTTTCAATTTTTAAGTCATAAAAATTATTACATTTTATTCAATACATGAAGGAATTTTAATATTAGATTTAATGTTTAATTGTGATTAACAAAGGCGTAAAAATTGTATTTAAAATTTAAAGTAAACTTAACAAATTCCAACTATTGACTAGTGGAACAGTTGTTTTAAATTAGTTGTGTGTTTAGTAGCTTTTTACATTAAAAAATCAGGGAGATAAATAAATTATCGTCTTTTTTCTTTTTTGTGGAAAGCGTTTTTCTAGATGCCTCCGAAGTGGTTAATTCAGATTACTCTGCAGTGAAATTAGTCTCGAGGGCGTTGTAACCATCCAAAATGCGAGGGTGAGCTCGTTTATATCTCTGTTTATGACGTCACTTATTTCCTAAACGTAATCATGTTAACAAGTTTTCAAGCGGATTTTTATGTTTACCTGTCGGTCATTTCACGACTCGCATAAATTCGGTAAAAACAGTCGTTTCTTAAATATTGAACTTTCACGTAAAAGCTTTCTCGTTCTTTTTCCATCAGACGCTGCAATATTTCAAGCTCGGAAAACAAACGAAGCTCAAGCTGAAAGAAATTATGAATAATTTTCAATTTGGAAATTCCGACGTTCAAACGTTTCTTGTGCATATGAGTTCGTGACTTTAATTTTGATCGTGTGGATCTTTCAACTTCTTAGGAGTGTCAGGAGCAGGACCGGAGCTATCTACGTGACTTCATTATTGTCACCACAGGCGTTTTTCTTCCTCAAACTTTATAACATCTTTTCATTTTCACGCCGAATATGGGGATATTAACTTACGAAGGGAATTTACACGAAAAATCGATAACAGATATCGATTAAAAGGAAAATGTAGCTCTTGAGCAGTTATAAATTATAAAACAATGTAATACAGGGTGTCCCACGAGTAATAAATTGCATTAGAAAAATAAAAATAATGCAAAGAGTAAAAATTATCATAACAAAAAAACAAGATCAAAGATAACGTGAATATTAAATTATTTAGTTTTAATAAATTAAACATAGTGACCAAACAGTACTTCAACTTTAATTTACAAAATGTCAAACCTTGGAGAATTTGGTGAGAATTACTAAAATGTTGAGGAAAAAATATTCTCTCGAATCGTATTTCCACCATCCGCAACGTCACAGAAGTAATTCTAATACCAACTAATTCCACCTTCACCGTTTTCTGTGCCCTTTACGTTGTATTCTTTATTTTAAATTTAAAAGTAATTGCAATTTCAGTAGCGCAAGCGCCTTCATAATTGATATTTTACGTTGCCAACGTAATAACATCAAATAACTAGTGACAACACTTTGACAATTGATTTAAAAAAAATTGGACTTTAAATAGAAATACAAAAAAAAATGCGTATTCTAACTCTCCGAAAGCCATTTTACCTCAAACTTAAATAATTTTCAGCATCCAACTTGCACCTAACAATCTTAATCCGGCTCCTATCAAAAATTAACCAGCATTAGAGCTTTCTCAAGCCTCATTCTTCCTCTCACACCTTTACAAGTGTCTTCAAACTCACTTGTCGAGTCATTCCCGGAAAATTGAATAAACCTATTGAATAATTAAGTGTTTCTCATGTTCTTTTTTCCCGTCGTGACAGCTGAAATTGTTTCAGATAAACGAAAGCTCACTCAGACACATTCCAGTGCCGAACGCTATCGTAACCGACAACCGACGGCAACCGGTTATAACCCAGTCAGCCCTCGAGCTGGAAATTGATGGGAGTACATTCGAAGGAGGCAAGGCTCGAATTCAGTGTGTGGCAACACTGTTTCACTTGTATCGAAGAGAAGTCGAACTGATCTTCGAAGAGGAAAAACCGAGACCTAGGCCTTCGTCCGAGCTACGCACCAGGGATGCGACAGGTGAAAAATCGAGAAATAAGTGTCGAACACAAAATTGCTCTTAATGCAACATGTGCAAATCTGGGTTGCACCGGATTCAATTTTAATCATTCAAACTGGGAAAAATACTCGAGTGTTAGCGTTTTGCCTCCGGTGGTTAGAAACTTTTAATCACTTTTTAGAAGTCTTTTATTAGCTGGTAAATGTTGCTTTAAAAGTTTCAATTGGGCTATTGTTTCATGAAGAGCGCCAGAGTTGTGATCAACATTTTGCGATTATTG